TGCGATGTCATGCGCTACAGGAAGTGCTCCACTGTGTTTTAATTCTCCATAGACCTTCACTAGAATCATGTGGATGATTTCAGATTTGGCATTGCTCATCTCTACTGAAATAAAAGGTAAAAGTAGTACTAGATTCCCGCTGTGCTTTATTTGAAATATACAAAAACTAGTTTTGAAGTCTTGAGTAAAATTGGATATTTATCTTTTAACACTGTAAGCTTTTTGTACCAACTTTTAGTTAAGTAGGTTAAGTTTTGAATTAGTTCAAAACTAAACCCTGAAATGAATGTTTATGTGAGTAAAAACATCTAAACATAAATCTCCTTTGTGTTTCAGGTCACAAACCTGTAATGATCATGGTGCTGACCGGGGTGCTGTTCATGGTTTTCGTGTTTGTGGGATTGGTTGTGGTTGCTGCTGTGATGTTCTTTCATTGCAAAATAAACCATGTCCCGACCCCATCACAATATGAAATGGACAGGGACAAGTGCACATTCTGTAAGGTGTGTTTATAGCCCGCTTTTGATGCTTCAGATGCTTCTGCTGCTTCAGAGGTGTGATTCTCTGCCCCCTGTGTCACTGCTTCAAGATGGTGTGGTTCTGTGCTTTATAGTTTGCATGGCCCACACTGAAAAGCTGGTAAGTGTGTTGTAGCCGGTTTTGGGTCCAGCCTGTAAACTGTCACCTGTGATGTGCACATCCACATTTGTCTAACATCCTTGTCTACATCCCTGTTCATTCAGTTCTTTATACCATTTTGCTACTTCCCTGAACCTAGTGAGCTGGATCGTAACAGCCTGTCTGCTCCTCTGGCTCTGCTCCTCTGGCTCTGCTCCTCTGGCTCTGCTCCTCTGGCTCTGCTCCTCTGGCTCTCTGCTCCTCTGGCTCTGCTCCTCTGGCTCTGCTCCTCTGCTCCTCTGGCTCCTCTGGCTCTGCTCTGGCTCTGCTCCTCTGGCTCTGCTCCTCTGGCTCTGCTCCTCTGGCTCTGCTCCTCTGGCTCTGCTCCTCTGCTCTGCTCTGCTCTGCTCCTCTGCTCTGCTCTCTGCTCTGCTCCTCTGGCTCTGCTCCTCTGGCTCTGCTCTCTGGAAAAACTAAACCTGCCAGCACTGATAATGAGACACAATAGCACAACTTATGCTGTTTTTATATGTATGGTTGACATGTTCATGCATGCTGAAGTGTGAACATCAGAGAGTGACAATTGTTCTTATTGTTGACTGAATGTAATATATATAAACAATACTTTAAATTAGGTTCTGTTCTATCCAATGTCCCGTCAAATAAAGACTGAACTAAAGCAAACTTTGTCCCTGAATTGAACTTCAGCTGAACGTCAGTGTACACGAAATTACACGTCCACCAGCACCATCTCCTGGTGAGGTGAGAGTAATACACATGCATGAAGTTAGAAGAGAATCACTCGTGTGATCAGAACTGGTGGGACCCTGTGTTACTCAAATATGTTGCTCAGTCATGATTTAAAATCAGATACAGGTACAGGCTTTTATGATTGTCTGCAGGTGCTGGGGCTCAGGTAGTGAGGATTCAAATGAGAGAAAGTTTTTTTTAGGTTTAAACCAGCTGGATTTCAGCATTAAAACTGGCAACCCAAAGGACGAAGGCCCAGGGAGTTACACGATGCTGAGTGACAAACCAACTTTATTCTGCCCCTGTACACTTTAAAACACTTTTCCAGACATCTTCCCCTGTCCTTAGACCCTCCTTCAGGGTGAGGAAAAACTCATGAGAGAAACCTCAGGGAGAGCCACAGAAGGAGGGATCCACTCCCTGGACGCACAGACGGCATCTTCACATCTTCACAAACATTTAACACCAGTCAAGAGAAAAGACACATCCCCCACTGTTCTGGGGAGACGTCTCCAAACTCTCAACTGGTGCTGGTATCAGAGTGAGATTTGCTCAGATCAGACTTTGTACAGTCCTTCTTCAGAACATTTCTTTCAGTCCTGCACTGCCCTCTGGTGGACTTTACACAAAATGACTGTTAGGGAAAAGAATTGGAGCCCTGTCTAACTTGTACGACAGCAGTAGGACAAACCAGTTTCACTGTGCTATGGTGAATTTGAGCTCTATTCAAAGTTTCTGTAAGAATCGTGCTCTGAAGAGAGCAAAGAAAAAGAAATACAGATCACAAACACATTAGAGTTTTAAAGATTGCTCCAACATTACTGCAAAGGTCATTTGAAAAGGTCATTTTGCATAATAGGTCTGTCTGCTTTAAAAAAGATAAATAAATAATATAATAACAATTTTGTGTTATCACAATGATGCCATCTTTGTTTTTCTATCAAATACCTCACCTACTTTTCCTCAAAAAGTCTTTATTGTTCATGTCTCGAGCCCACGTGACTTAAAGCTGCACTATGAAACATGTCTGGTGGAGAGTCTGCAATGACAACGTCTCCATGGAGACAACACTCTACACAGTTGTTTTGTTTTGTCCTAAATGTTCCACATTAAACATGTCTATCTCCATGGAGACAGACAGGTGTCACCACCAGTTCAGGGTACAGGTCAGATCTGTGGAGAGGCGAGCCAGCTCACAGTAAGAAGGAGTGATCATCCTGTTTATGGTGCACATAAGGAACACAAGTCAATCCAGGGGGAGAGACTAACTTTGCGTTCATTCAGGACACCACAGTTGTCTCATACATTTAAAAGAAGAACAAGAATGTCATCCTTACGAGCACATTACATGTAGTTGCGAAGGTGAACTCTCAGGAACTCCATCATCATCATCATCATCATCATCATCAGCCATCATCCTTGACAACAATGCCAGCAAAGGAGGAGTGTACAACCTTGACAAAGTAACAGGCACATACATCTGGAAGAGCAGAACCTCCCGCAGGCCTCTCCTGATAGTCCACAGTGACACTGACATATTAACCTACAATGCCTTTGTCATATGGAGGGAGCTGAACCCAACCTGGAGGGCAAGCAGGAGGAACTGGAGGAGGTTATTTTTGGAGGAGCTTGGAAAGGCCCTTGTGACTCAATGTATGCAAAGATGACACCAGCTTCCCCACACAGCAGTTTCAGCAGCATCTGTGAAGGCAGTGCAGTGATCTGAGCCTGGCCCTGATCAAGAAGTCACACCAGAAACCAACACAAGGGCACAGAAGAGAAGGAGATGCAACTTCTTCCCTGCAAATGTGGGACACACATATGCAAGTTCCACACATGCAAAGTTTCCTCCCACTGCTTTGAAATAAGCATAATGGCTGCAGTGGATAAATGGATATATTATAAATTCAAAGATTTTGAGAATATTCATGTCATTTTCAAATGCAATAAAATATATATAAATCATAATGGCTTTCATGTTTTTATGTATTATGTACATGATACTGTGTGATAGTAGATGTTTTTCTCCAAAAACAAGTAAAAAAAAAAATGCTTCCTCCTGCTTTCTGAAACATTGTCTTTATATATTACATATATTTATTAATGTGTGGGACAGTCTATTTAATCATTCTAAATAGATCTTTTTTTTTCCCCATTCCATTTTCTTTCCGCTGATCCGGGGCCGGGTCATGGGGGCAGCAGGGCCTCCCAAACTTCCCTCTCCACACACACTTCCTCCAGCGTTCCCAGGCCAGGGAACACCTCTCTAGGAGAGCGCCCAGGAGGCATCCGGAACAGATGCCCGAGCCACCTCAACTGGCTCCTCTCGACACGGAGGAGCATGTGACTGAGCTCCTCACCCTGTCTCTAAGGGAGCGCCCAGCCACCCTGCGGAGGAAACTCATTTAGAACGCTTGTATCCGCGATCTTCTTCTTTTGGTCATTACCCAGAGCTCATGACCATAGGTGAGGGGAGAAACATAGATTGACCAGTAAATCGAGAGCTTTGCTTTTTGGCTCAGCTCCCTCTTCATCACAACGGTCCGATCAGCAACCGCATCACTGCCGACGCTGCAGAGATCTGCCTGTCAATCTCACGCTCCATCCTCCCCTCACTTGTGAACAAATAAATAGATCTGTTGTTCAAAATTTGGAATAGACACTTACTATGAGGGACTTCTTGGTCCAGGTCAAATTTGACCCAAACCATACTGTGAAGGCTTAAGGAAATGAACAGTATGTAAAGTTAGGCAATATAATAATAACCAGTATAATTTCACAGTTTGTACTTTTGAAGTGACATACTTCTCATTTATAGTGAAGTTTCACATGTGAATGTTTTTAAAAACCTGAAAACATTTTACAGTGTATGTTCATAGATGAGCCAGGAGGCTAAAGGCGGGTAAAGGCGGTAAAGCCAACAATTGGAAGATTATTTCAACATCTTAAACACACATAATATCCAGGCATGTGGAGCTCAATGGTGACCGCCCGCTCCACTTCTGGAAGTAAAATTTCCATAATTTTTTTCCAGAAAAATTCTAATAGGTCTTGTGATGAGTTACCTCACAGCTTTTTTTTTTTTTCCCCCCTTTTTTTCAGAATGTCTATGGCATACGGTCAGTGTTGGGCTCCATAATGCACAAAATGTAAATGGACCTTAAAATTAAAACAAAAGGGACAAAACAGACCATAATGTTACACCCATGTTTGGTATCTTTGTAAAAAACTAGTTCAAAGCCTAATTATAGACACATGTATTTTAATTTTGCATAGCCTGAAAACAACAATTCTGATACTTTCATTTTTCTAGTGATTACTATATCACCTCCAGCCTATTTCTTTTGGAGTTGTGAGTTCAGTTGCTCAATGCTGATAGGCTATTTGTCACTGTTGTTTACAGTTTATATTTTTTCTTTAAATAGGCCCATTTGATTGATTCATTCATCATTTTGATTAGTTTGGACTGAACTACATGGTCTCTTGTTTTGGGCATCCACTCATACATATGCCCGACTGCTTGCTTTTCTCGTGAGATCTGGCAACCCCCCCCCCCACACACACACACACACACACACAGCAAAACCCAGGCGCGCTCCTCCGCTCCGCTCCAGACACTTCACCTGCAGCGGCCGTGCGTACCAGTCCTTCCCCGCGGCGCGTACAGAAACCCCGGGGCTCGGTCCTTCCTCTCCTCTCTCCTCTTCTCCTCCGCTCCCCCCGCGCTCCATCCTCCGTCCTCACGCCACCGTCCCTGGACTCGACTCCTCTCCGCGGTGCGTGGATGTTTCGACCGGTGATCGCGCTGCTGCTGGCGGCCGGGCTCTGCTGCGGTCCTCCGGGGAGCGAGGCGGTGCAGAGCCGGGCACTCAACTACCGCCCCGTCATCGGTAAGGTGCACCCGGGATAGGCGCACTCATGTCCCGCTGCACGGGGGCACGACGGGGAAGAGGGGGCTGGTGGTAGGGGGGCACGCGCGGAGGGATCATTATGTAATTCTTGAGAATGTTCCAGAGATCATGCAACATTTTTTTGTGAAATATTTCATAAACATAGCGTGAGTTTACAGGGATTTTTATTTTATTTTTTTTTTTTACGTTTAACCTCCAAGCTTCACGTGCATTTAACATTTAACTATTCTGTTTTATTATTTAGCATGTATTATGATTGTGAGCCATTAGCCTATAGTATATTTTTGTGTTTACTTATTATTATTTTTATTAATTCAGTTTTCCAAAACCCATAGGCATTTTTTCCGTTTAAATCGATCTTATTTCTTTAGTTTATGACTGAAACCTACGTAAAGGTGCACTGTGTAACTTTTTCTGGTGGGGGATCTGCTTATCTCCATGGAAATGTTTATTCAGTGGCCTGGAAGGTTCCACAGTATGGCATTTATTTTATAGGAAGTGTTTCCATTGCTTAAAGGTCCTATATTATGCACACTTGACCCTTCTGAGCTTTAGTCACGTCATAATGTTGTTACCTCACCAAAAACAAACCTGGAGTTGTGTTTTGTTTCATTCACGTGTTTGAGTCATCCTTTGTTATTAGTCTGTCTTCATTTCTAAAGCTTGAAATGCTCTGTTCCACCTTGTGATGTCATGAAGCGGTATAGTTTTCAAGTTAATAGCTCCTTTTACCCTTAGTTCAGAGATCGGCAATTCCAGTGCTGAAATTAAATGATTCTAGTGAAGGTGTGTGCAGTTTAAAAACACAGTGGAGCATGTTATTTTTTGTTTTTACCACATGACATGATCAGTTCCCTGAAGCATTGACTCACGTAGGACTGACTGCTTAATACTGCTACAACTACTACCACTACTACTACTACTTCTACCACTACTACTACTACTACTACTACTACTACTACTACTACTACTACTACTGCTGCTGCTGCTGCTGCTGCTATTACTCCTACCAATACTACTACTACTACTGCTACTACTACTACTACTATTACTAATACTACTAATACTACTACTACTGCTGCTACTACTACTACTACTACTACTACTACTACTACTACTACTACTGCTGCTGCTATTACTCCTACCAATACTACTACTACTACTGCTACTACTACTACTACTACTATTACTAATACTACTAATACTACTACTACTACTGCTACTACTACTACTACTACTATTACTAATACTACTAATACTACTACTACTGCTGCTACTACTACTACTACTACTACTACTACTATTACTAATACTACTACTACTACTACTACTACTACTACTACTACTGCTGCTGCTGTTGCTATTACTACTACCAATACTACTACTACTACTGCTACTACTACTACTACTACTATTACTACTACTACTAATACTACTACTACTACTGCTGCTACTACTACTACTACTACTACTACTACTACTATTCCTACTGCTTCTACTAATACTACTATTACTACTACTACTAATACTACTACTACTACTACTACTGCTGCTGCTACTATTACTACTACTATTACTACTACTACTACTACTACTACTACTAATACTGCTACTGTATTACTACTACTACTACTACTACTATTACTACTACTGCTACTATTACTACTACTATTACTACTACTATTATTACTACTGCTACTACTACTACTGGTACTATTACTACTACTACTACTACTACTACTACTACTATAATAATAATGCATCAGTTTTACCATCAGTTTTATCTAGAGCTTTTCTGGACACTCAGAGACACTTTACAGATCATTATTCATTCACTACTACTACTACTGTAGCCACAGCTGCCCTGGGACAGACTGACAGAAGCAATGCTGCCAATCTGCACCTATCGGCCTCTCCGACCCCCACCATCACTCACACACACACCACTTTCATACTAGAAAATGTGGGTGAAGTGTTTTGCCTAAGGACACAATGACAATTTTTGCAACTGGTGCCCCACTGTGGCCCCTGATTTTCCCAGCAGTCTCCCATCCAAGGATTAACCAGGAACGGCCCTGCTTTGCTTTTGAGAGCTGATGGGATCAGTCTTTGACAAACCAGTATGGCCACAATCTTAAGGCTTGGCATCTTGAATCTTTGCAGCAAATGTTTTCACTAATAATTTTACACTCTAAATTTAGACTGTTGAATTTGGTGGCATAATATTTAAATTGTATATGATTAATTTATTATTATTATTATTATTATTATTATTATTATTATTATTATTATTATTATTATTATTACATTTTAAAATCTGTACATAAAAAAAATTCAAAATATGATGTAACAAATGATCTTCAGTAAAGGTTATATATGACATAGTTGAGTTGCTGCACAGATGGATGAAGTATATATTATTTGAGCCACAGCTAGTCAAATTATTACTTCTATTGTACATTTAGACTTTTTAAATCCACTATCAGCTAAATAAATACTGGAATATGGCTTTTGAGGTTTAATCAACAATATTTACTAATTAAGTGTTCTATGTATAAAAATCTGAAATGGTTAATTCTCTTTATGACATTTTGATTTAGTCTTTATTATAAAAAGATCTTTCCATGTGTTTTAGAGTTTAGCCCAGGCGTCTCCAACCTGTAGCTCGAGTGCTACCAGTAGCCCTCCACCCCCTTCCAAGTAGCTCACCAAAGGATTTCTAAATTATACATATTGTACAAAATAACCCAAATTTGATTAGAATTACCTTTATAAATCGATAATGGCTTAACGTTTTATATGCATCTAACTGTAGAACACCTAAGGCTTGCCCTCGTATATTGACTCAATTTCTTGAGACTGTCAAAATGAGTAGCTCTTCGACATTTTCATTTTGTAAAAGTAGCTCACTGGATGCAAAAGGTTGGAGATCCCTGGTTTAGACTATAAAAAATAAAGTTAACATGATAACTACTACTACTTCAGAGCAGAACTGGAGTATTCCAGTATACATAAACGTAAACACTGATATTTACATGTAGTAGGGGGAGTTCTATTATAGATCTCCTGCTGGAAAATTATGAAAGAGCAAAACTTCTACTGCTAGTTTGAGTCCAATGAAGACCCCAGAAACAGTCACCCCTCACGCAGTCATGGTTTTTAGGGTGTGTACTCAATGCAATGGCTGCTGGGTAATATGTAAATTATTTTAATTATGTTCTTTGAAAGTCATTGTTGCCAGTAGAAGGTGCATGAACTGGAGTGAAACACTAGTCCAGGTGTATTTTTTGTTGACATCGAGTATTAAAAGTATTAAAAAATAAATAAAATAAAAAATCTGTTGGACTTTAATGTGATCTCTTAAAACTTAAAGCAGGCATGTCCAAACTATGGCCTGTGGGTCAAATGTGGCCCTCAGACTTCCAGGTGAATTGGCTCAGATTACCTTGCATCAATTAAAAATTAACTTTTTACTGCAAGTACTGCAGAAAAATCTACCTTGATAAAGCTAATATTGAATATTTAATGTGTGGTTTTAAGGATCTTATCATTCTAACGTATTAAACATGCACATATTTCAGTTATTCACTGTTTTGAGCACCAGTCTACAGCCCTCGATCGGCCCTCTGCTTCGTCTGTGTTTACTGTAGATTTGTGGCCCTTGATGAAAAAAGTTTGGACACCCTTGACTTAAAAGTAGCTTTTCTGGGAAATAGTTTGTCAAATAGTTTGCTCCATGGAGATGTTGTTGCTTTGTTTGCTCTGAAAATTTCACAGTATGGTATTAAACCTTCCTGTAGTCATGGAGACCAAACCAGACAAAGTTACAGGTCAGATCTGTGGAGAGACAACCCCGCTCACAGTCAGAATATCTGTTTTTCTGGGCATTTTAGAGCTATAGAAATAAATGTAAATTAATAAATTTAAAGTAGAGCTGTTTAATTTCACTGTGAAAAATTCCAGGCACAGCAATGACATAAGCAAGCAGGTGACACCCATCCACAAAGTTACATAGTGTACCTTTAAAAGTACAATTAAGATTTTACTTTTACAAAGTAGCAAGGAACCCAGTTTTAGGATTCCTGATTAAAAAAAATATATAAAAGAGCAAAACTTCTGACTCAAAAATTGTCAAATCCAGGTCCCACTAGAACACAGATCTCCCAGACTTATGGTTTTGAGACTTACTCCAGAAGACAATCCATTGTCTTTATGTAAATTGTGTACAGAAGACTCTTTTCCACCTTGTGATGTCATGAAGGTGTTAGCAGCTACTTTTCACCTTACTTTTACCACTAGAGATTGGAAATTCCAGGGCTGAAATGATCCAAATGTTTTTCTGTTTGAGAGAAGAACTCAGTCAAACAAAACACAACTCCAGATCTGTTTGTGATTAGGAGACATATAGATCACAAACTGCGTAATACGGGCCTTTAAAAAGTTCAAACCGTTTCAAAAAAGTAAAACAAAACAAAACAGGGCCTTTAATAGTAATTATACAGATGATTCCTGAATTCTAACCAATATTATTATTTCATTTACTCCTTGTTGCAAATGGTTGATCTGTTACAATGATCTGATCATGCCATTTCTTGTACCATAAAGAGGATATAGAATTTTTTAACAGTCATGTCTTTGGTTTGGTTTTGCAGCTTCTTCTATTGTGCGGTTCTTTGGTGGTTGGCAAGTTTTGAAACACAAAACACTTTTTGGAAATCGTATGTGAATTTAACTGTAAAATATGGGTTTAATCTCACAACCGTTCAAGCGTAAAAAAAATTGAAGTAAAAAAATTAGAAGGATTTGATGTTTTTTTAATTATGACTTGGTTTAGAGGGATAGTACCTGTGGTGAATATTTGTCATAGTTTTACATCAGTTAAGTGGCAGTTTGTGGGAAAAAAGTTGAATGTAAAAGTACAAAAATACAGGAAGTAGCGCTCAGTACTGGAACAGAACATAATGGAACAAACACCTAAAATTCCATCAAAAATCCAGCAACAGTTACTCATGAGAGACAAATTTTTCTCAAGGCTTACACCTTAATTCAACAAAAAATCTTTTATTTTATCAGTTAAATCATAACTATTGTGTAATTTTGATGTTTTGGCCAATCTTAACATTATGGTTGCTAAGAATAGACTCATCAAGAATCTTGGACTTCCGGTCATTGCGCAATCCATACTGGGAAGGATTTTCCGAAAAAGTGAGCATTAAACCACCATGTTTGTTTTCCCGGTGGGATGCGTCTATTGACAAAGCCGATCTTTTACAAGCCTTTTGAACCATATCGCTTTTGTTTCTGGTTCTGATATTGTCATATTTTAGTTTTGGGATTTGAACATTGTAATTGTGTGGTTGTTGGATGTCCTGACAGTAGAAAACTGCTCAATAAATTTGTTTGTGAACTCCATAAATGCAAAAGGGAATCAGATGTGTGTGACTGCAAACCTCCGTTCAAACTGTTTCCCTTCCCAGTGGAATTGAAAAATAGTGAAAGGCGATGGGCAGGATTGATCCATGGGAACGATGAAAAAGGTAGCCTTTGACGGCCTAAATTATTCCGAGTTTGTAGCGAACATTTTGTATGTGGAGCGCCAACAAAACAAAATCACGATCCACTCAGCCTTTGTTACGAATTTAAAAAGTAACCAAAGCAAAAGGCACCAGCTGTTCACCAAGAAACAACTTCCGCAAACACTGCAAACGAATGTTGCTGTAAAGCCACAAGAACAAGAAAGTGCTCGCTCGGCCTGTTTATCTTCTATATCTCTCGCTTAATAAACGGGATCCCACTTTGATGGCACTCCACATACAAAATGTTCGCTGCAAACTCGGGATGATTTAGGCAGTCTGCCTAATCTGCCCATCTCCTTTGCCTTTCACTATTTTTCAATTCCGTTGGGAAGAGAAACAGTTTGAACAAAGGTTTGCAGTCACACACATCTGATTCCCTTTTGCATTTATGGAGGAAACTCTTTATTGTCTTACATGTCCTCAAATGTATCTTAAGTTGATTAGCACCAGCCTGTGAGACACGTGACACTCTGCTTTGATATGTATGTAACGTGTATTTCTGTATAAATACTCAGGGGAAGGTACTTGGGCAGAGACTCGGGAAAAATGGAGTAGGGACATACTGCTGGTTAAGAGAGGCTGTTGGTCTGTGGCCAGGGCAGGCCTAACTCCTGTCCATATCTGCTGTAAGAATAAACCTTTGTCTGTATTCCAAAAACTCACTGGACTTCACAAATGAATGAATTATTTATTATTATTATTATTATTATTATTATTATTATTATTATTATTATTATTATTATTATTATTATTATATTATTAAGAGATACATCATTTTTTCCACAACACTGCATTCACTACTACTTGTGTCTGCTGTATACTGTAGTTATAATCTGTGACATCCGTGGATTATAATACGCAATATTCTAAAGCAGGGGTGTCAAACTCATTTTGGTCCGGGGGCCGTATCCAACCTACTTTGATCCCAAAGGGGCCGGATCAGAAAACTCATGTCATATAAACCCCAAAAATAACAATAAGTTCAAATATTTGTGCAGAGAAACACAAATCTATTACAGAAATCTTTTTTAATTGATGAACTCTTTCTTTTACAAAATATTATAATATTATGAACCTGAAACTTTGTGTTGAAATTACATTTTTCTTAATGTTTTAACTTGAACTTGTATGTAAATAGGAATAAGTTCATTTTTCTTGTAAAATTCTGCACTCGGCTCCACTTTTCTCATGTTGGACATTTTTCTGATGAGGGTGTCACGGTCAACAGTCAAAACGATCGTCCTTTAAGAGCATTTGGAAAGAGACAAGTCTTCATTTGTGCTGCTCTGGTGGGAGGGGCCACGTACAGAGACACTGGAGATGCTGCTGTGATAAACACCACAGAAAATTACCAATATTTTAATAGAAAATATAATTAAAATATTTTAGTAGAAAATCCCCCGAGGGCCAGATTAAAGGTCTTGGAGGGCCGGATCTGGCCCCCGGGCCTTATGTTTGACACCTGTGTTCTAAAGAAACAGTTATCTGACTTCCGTGTTCTGCTTGGTCCCAGTGAAGCTCAAACCTAAAGTCATCACAACAAAAAGCCACAAATCTGTCAGCACCTCCGATGGAGCGCTGTACATCACACTAGCAAGCCATGGATTTTTTTCATTTGTACCAAAATGACTACTGAATACTACATGTATCACAGATTAAGAAAATAAAATTCAAGAATGATGTAAGGACAGAGCAGTGGGCGTGTACAAGTGGTGGTGAAAACAGGGGTTGATTGGCAAATTTGCACCTTGACAAAAAGCCATTAAAGACTCAAACACGCGCAAATCACTCCAAATAATGAATAATAATGATGGATTAGTTTTATAAAGCATTTTTACAGGCAGACTGGAAACAAGGCTGTCAATCTGCCATCAGCCCCTCCGACCACCACCTCATCAGACAGCACTTTCATACTGGGCAATGTGGCTGAAGTGCCTTGCTTAAGGACACAGTGATAGTATTTTCCCACTGGCGCTCCACTGTGGCACCTGATTCTCCCAGTGGTCTCCCATCCAAGTATTAACCAGGCTCGCTAGTATGACCACAAATACAACTTTGAGAGGGTAAATGAGACGGGAAAACAACTAAAACATGGTTAAAAGCTCTGAAAAGTTGATTTAGCTGCTTTATACAGGTTTCAAACACTAGGACACATTTTGCTGCGTTCATGCTGGACAAAAACAGTGTTACGTGACAGATGTTTTTCTCTGAGAATGACATGTGATGCCATCTGTTCTGTTTTTCAGGTATTTTGGCCCAAGAGAACCTCCCAAATGACCCCTCCCCACAGGGCACCTCCTACATCGCAGCGTCATACGTCAAATACATAGAGAGCGCTGGAGCCAGGGTGGTCCCCATCAGGTAAAAATACATTATAATAACATGAATAAATAAATTAATAACCCTTTTTTTCCTGATTCATTTTTCCCATAGATATTCCCCCCTAAAATATATATAATAATATAAATAAATAAACAAATAACTACTTTTTTTCTCATTATTTTTTCCCATAGATATTCTCCTAACAATATATATAATAATAAAAATAAATAAATAAATAACCCCTTTTTTGTAAAATTTCAGATAATTGGGGGAATTATGCAGATATTTTAATGTATTGATTTATTTATTTTTTTCCTACCATGTTGTAACAGTGTTGCTTCATCAAAAACAAGACTGAAGTGGTTTTAGATCAACCGTGCATTTCCCAGTAATTTAACTCTAGTCAAACCATCCTTATTGTCAGCAGTACGAGCCCGTCCAATGCTTCACCCACAAACCTACATCATCCATGCTTCCACATGACAGTTCTCCATAAATATACATAAAATATACAAAAATATGATACAAAACTGTACACTATGTGATTTCCCATGCTGGGAAAGGGGAAGTGAGCAAAAGAAGTAAAGACTGAGAGCGCCAAAAACAAAAGTAAAGCTTAATATAAACATAAATATGTTGTTTTTGGTGAATATAGCATTTTCAAAACAATAAACGGTAACATGGAACATCTAAACATGTTATTTGTTATAGAAGTTAAAGGTGCATTGTGTAACTTTTCCAGTGGCGGGTGTGTCAAATACTTTTCTCCGTGAAGATGTTAATACTTTGTCTGGAATGTTTCACAGTATGGCATTAAACCTTTCTATCTTCATGGAGACCAGACCAAGTTACAGGTCAGATCTCGCTCACAGCCAGAATGTCTGTATTTCTAGGTGTTTTTGAGCTACAAAACCACAAATGCAAAGTAGAGATGTTTAATGTCATACTGTGGAACATTCCAGGCAGAGCAATAAGCATTTTATTTATTTATTTTTACATTTTTGATACACCAATCCAGACAACTCCTAAGCTGTCTTCCTCATCTTTGGAGGAATCAGACCTCTTGACCTACTCCGTGAAAAGGTTTTTGTGACATGTGATTAAATGTGTTGTTATAGGGAGCTCCAGAATGTGGTGTTGTCATTTTGTGCGTCATTGGGAATGTGGAAAAACTGATTTACCTAATTGGGTTACATGACTAAGATACTGAAAACAGGTCGATCACGAACATGATCTTGTTTTATTGAGGTGTGATTTCCAAAAACTAGGTCACATATTTGTAGGTGGTTTATTATTAGTAGTAGCGTTGTAGACAAGACTGCACTAATAGAGACCAGTCAGAGACCACAGGGTCCCAAGACCAGGACAAGACCAAGACAAGACCAGGACTATTAAAGACTGAGATCGAGACAAGACCAAGACCATGGCCCATTGAGACCAAATGGAGACAATCTTTGCAATTTTCTACATTTATTTGATTTTACAGTTATTCTGGCACATATATATCAATGTTTTTGTAAATCCATCTCCATTTTATCACTCTTGAAGTGTCAGACCTTGAGACAGACAGTACCGAGTCAATGCGCCTTCAAGTCCAAGACGAGACCGAGTCAAAGCGCCTTCAAGACAGAGACGAGACCGAGTCAAAGTGCCTTCAAGTCCGAGACGAGACCGAGTCAAAGCGCCTTCAAGACAGAGACGAGACCAAGTCAAAGTGCCTTCAAGTCCGAGGCGAGGCCGAGTCAAAGCGCCTTCAAGACTGAGACGAAACAGAGTCAAAGCGCCTTCAAGACAGAGACGAAACAGAGTCAAAGCGCCTTCAAGACAGAGACGAAACAGAGTCAAAGTGCCTTCAAGTCCGAGGCGAGGCCGAGTCAAAGCGCCTTCAAGACTGAGATGAGACCGAGTCAAAGCGCTTTCAAGTCCTAGACGAGACCGAGTCAAAGCGCCTTCAAGACCGAGGCGAGGCCGAGTCAAAGCGCCTTCAAGTCCGAGGCGAGGCCGAGTCAAAGCGCCTTCAAGACCGAGACGAGACCGAGTCAAAGCGCCTTCAAGCCTGAGACAAGATTGAGTCCGAGACGAGACCAAAACTGTAAAAAATGGTTTCTAGGCCAGTCTCAAGACTTAGACCGTTTTCGAGTACTAAGACACTAAGGCTGAATCCCATTACACCCCTTGGCCATACCACTTTCCCCTACCCTTCGTCTTGTGTGTTCGCGTGTAGGGGTAGGGCTGTCCCAGTTACTGTTATGGCAGAGTCATTGAAGAAAGTGGTAGAGCTATGTACCCCTCCAAACGAAGACGGGTATGAGCAATTTCCCAGAATGCCTTGCGAATCACCGGCAAGATGGCTGCTACCATAACCACAGAGACTAAAGAAGTTCACAACTTGTAGACCACATGTTAGATTTGTGGCAAGCGGGTGGAGACTACTTATAATGCATGTGGTTATTAACGGAGTGTCCCAAATCATAGGGGATTGTTTCTAACCCCTACCCCTTGTTGCTCAGTTTCAAGAGGTAAAGGGAATGGGTAGAAATTAGAAATGGGATTGGCCCTAATTATTGGCTCTAGCAGTTTTACTCTTTTGTGCAAAGATTACTGTAGTAGTGGATGATACCAGTGTTTTTTTGTTGTCATTCTACACATCTGTCTAACATATATGACCCTCAAATTCAAATTACTAAAGAATTAAAGCCATAGTGTAGAAGTTTTTACTCAAAAATTGAAGCTACTAAAATGTGTATTGATACTAGACACTCATTTCCAGTAAATGCTGTGTAAAAGGTTTATGTATTTATGTATTTAAAAACATCAAAAACAGTGCATAGTGTTGAGTTTTATCCGTGTATGTATAGTTTTTGAAATGTTTGTGACAGCACTAGCCCCACTTACATCACCACTGGACTTTAGGGTTGATCACAAGACGACATTTGGAAACACAGATTATTTGTCAAACAGGCGAAGCAATCACTTGATAGTCTTCCAGAAACATTGCACAAAGCAGCTTTAATGGTCCAGTTCTCCATTCACAAGAAACTTCAGATTGTCATACTTGTGTTAAAAAGGAATAAATTGAGGTCTTTTATAAGTTTCCTTCTGAAAATTTAAAATTTAAAGAGCAGAACTTCTGAATTGGAAACTTTCAAATCATTGTGTCCACTAAAATTCATCTTCTTCTCGATCAGGGTTTGAAGTAGTTTGAAAGCTCACACATTTCTCTTGGCTGGAAGTCATTAGGAATTATTGTTATGGAAATATCCCTGAGCCTTTTGCACTTTTTCCTCACAGAATAAACCGAACAGAGGAGGAGTACGTGAAGCTCTTCAACTCTATCAATGGGTGAGTCTATTGTCAAGACAAATATAATTAATTAAAACCATATTAACAAAAGCAAACAATAATAATAACTTACTAAATGCATATACGCTGATGTAAAATGTCTCTAAAACTCTGTGTGTTGTTGCAGGTTGTTGCTGCCAGGGGGCGACATTAACATTGAGACGTCACTGTTCACGCGGACCGCCAAGATTTTCTACAAATTGGCGTTAAAGGTATGAATAAAAATGTGTGGGATTTTCTAATTTAGTTAACATTTTATAACAGTTTATAAGCCAAAATGTATCAAAAACTTTAACATACCGCTTTTCACCTCCACCAGTACATACCGTTCTGTTCTTACTTTCATTCTTTAGTTTTATTTTGTTGAATGGTGATATTCGTAGGATTCGGACGCGTCGTGTAGTAATTTTAGCCCACACCAAAATCACAGATCACTAGGTCCATACGAAGGGTCGACATGTATAAATATAAAAGAGGATTCATGGATGTCATAGATTATAACTGTATAGCAGACAAAACCTAAAAAAAAAGTATGTTTCTTTAACATTGTTATAATGTAATAATAATATCATAGTTTACCTGGAGTTATTTATTAAATTCTGTTATAATATTTCATTTTTATTTTCCCAGGATTGTGACATCATAGGTAGAAATCATACATAAGCACATTTGAAGGCCAGTAAACAGATAATGCATGTGTCCTTTAAAGCCACAGTATGTAACATAGCCAAAAGTTTATGGCACTGGAAAACATGCATCGTTGCTCTAAGTGGGGCTTGCTTCTTAGGCGCACTCAAACTAGGACTTTAGAACCGATTGCGTAGGGTTCTATGTCCCACACTTACACTTGCACAACTGAACTGAGCCACAGCCCAGTGACGTCATCACACGGCACTGTTTGTTTACATGTTGTACAGTAATGCTATCGCTTCAGCTGTTACGACCCAAAGGGCAACATATTTAAAAGGACACAGGAGTCAAAATATAGCATTTTAATGTCTTTTATTTCTAGTTGGTTCTTAATTTTTAGGTTTTTAAAGAAATTTAAAAACTCTCCCGTGCCCAAAAAAATTATGAAAAGTAATAAACAGAGAGGTGGACCTGGTGAGTCAGCCAAACAGAACAAAAAGGTGCGACACCAGGCCAACCCGTACAGGGCTGTAGAAGCTGGTTGCAGTACCTGTAACTAAAGACAAGAAAAACCCCAAACAAACCTGAACCTCCCCCAAAAAAGTGAAAACAGGACAGCCGGTCTCACCAGGTCAAAACAAAAGGTTAATGGCTAATGAAGGCTACATGGCAGCCCACCTTGCACCTGGCTGACAGGGGCAAGGCCACCCTCAGGGCGCGAACACGGAGTCTGGAGTGAGCAAGGTGAGCGGGGCTGGGCGGAGCAGGGCACATGGAGCGGAGGAACAGAGAGAGAGAGCGCCACGGGCAGACAGCCGTAGTTATAGGGTCCGCACAGCCATGCAAAAATAAACCATAAACAAAAGTTACGCAAAAGGGACTAATTACAAAACTTACTACAAAAAGGAACACAAAAAAACTAATGACCCAAATCAACTTGCCTGCGCATAACATTAGCGGAGAAAGAAGTCCACTGGCGTGAAATATTTATTCAATAGTGAGGCAGATATGCATCCTCTTATGATACTCAGTGAGTTTATGGATATAATAGCAGCGCAGAGAAGACAAGCTGCAAAACTTCTGTCTCTTTCACAGTCCTTATTAAAAGTAAGCATGAATTTAATGTGTTTGGGGCAGAGTTCATTCAGTTTCCCTTATATGAGTAAGATTCATACATCTGACAGGGACCATACAGTGAAGTCGTGTGAGCGTGCGTACATGAGCAACTGTGCTTTGCTTTGGCCCATCTCCTCCAACCAGCCCAGAGTCCCAGCTGTGCTGTACCTGGGAGCAGTTTGATTGCGCTCACACTGACGATTGCACCGTGCTTTAGGGGCTAGCCACGCTTTAGGGACACGGTTCGAATGGCCTGGAGTGTGCCCTTATTTGTTTGGCCTGGAGGACCTCTGGCTATAATATTTCATAATATGGCATAAAAGTTCAGAAGTATGGTTTTAACTTTCTGTTTCCATGGAATCAAGTTTTTTTTTTGTTTTTTTTTAAAGATAAACACTTAGGTTGATTAGTAGTAAAAAGGCTGTAAAAAAGTCAAATCTTGTCTCCTCTGTGTTTGCAGGCGAATGATGCGGGGGACTACTTTCCTCTGTGGGGCACATGTCAGGGCTTCCAACAGCTCAGTGTCCTCACTGCCAACAAGAACCTGCTCACGAGCACAAACACTGAAGCTGTAGCTCTGCCCCTCTCCTTCACCCCGGGTAATTTTTTTTTTTCTTCTTCTTTTTTTTCTCCTTTTTTTTATGCTACATCTTTTTTTCTGATGCAAACAGAGCATGCATCTCTCTGATTGGTTAATCCACCTGTCAATCACACTCTCTGAAATCAGTGAGAAAGGACACAGCTCCCGATCCACTCGTCTTTGTAAAGTTTTGTCAAAGCGTGTGGTTCTGGCTCTCTTACAACCAGATATGCCTAAAACAAAAGTAAAACTACAGTGGAAAGTTTTATCTCTTTGTCAGCACCGTTTATCTAAAGTGGAAATCATTTGTTTTCTAAAGTGGTCAAAGCTGCAGTACCACTAAATAACCACACAACTGAACTTTAGTTTTATTTTCATTTAGCACAAAATACAGGATAATGTGCACTGCAAAAACTAAAATCTTGTTACATTAAGATGACTTGAAATAAGAAAGTTTTATCATGATTTGAGTAAATTTCACTTGACAAGTAAAATTAACTACCGGTGGAACAAAGACTTTTTGTACTTAAAATACATCTTATCTACACTTAAAATAAGAAAAACAAGAAATAAATTATTCCATTGGTAGATCATTTTACTTGTCAAGTTGAATCTCTTCAAAGTAAGTAAAATGTTCTTAATTTAAGCCATTTAACCTTACCTAGATATTGTTTTTTGCAGTGTGAAGGATGGTTACCAAAAAAACAATAAAGGAGAATTAAAATGTGGTAGCCTTCATATAAAATGCACTTGGCTCTAATAAAACAGTGCAGTGAGAGATGATAAGACACATAAATACAGAATGCCATATGGGAAAGAGCTGGTATTCAGTAGAAGGCATTTTAAAGCGTTTTTTTAATGGACATTGTGATTTTTTTCTAAATGAAGAGGGCAGGCTGTTCCATATTTTAGATCCTTTGTATTCATTCTTTGAAATTACCTGATCCAGAAGAGTTAGATACTATAAAAAAGTCCAATCAGTACTAGTACAGAGTAGTATGGCCCTGGTGGTAGTATGGTGGAAGACGTACTCAGTTTTGTTATTTAAGTAAAAGTACAGATCCTGAACAGACAAATATTCAAGTAAAAGTGAAAAAAAAACTAAAAGTATTTTGCATTGGTATGAGGCTTCAAAAGTATTGATTTTGATACAGATTTGTGCTGAATATTCTGAATCAAACATTTTTTCCAGCTGTTTTTATTTGTATATTTTTGTTTGCTCAAATTATGAACATGTTAAAAATAAACCCTCGGCTTCTGCGGCAGGTCTGAAATAATAATAACAAATACTTTAACTTCTCAGTCCAGTTCAAAATTTAGTGAAATAGAAAGTACAGAAAATGATTCTCACAAATGTAATGAAGTAAAAGTAAAAAGCATCCACTGTTAAATGCAGTAAATAATAAAAAATAAAAATAATAAAATAAATTAAATAAAGTATAGATAACCAATATTTTTACTCAGTTAAGGTACTTCAGTATTTTTACTTAATTTCTTCCACCACTGTCCTGAAAATACTGAGAATTTACATTCCTATACCCCTAATTAAACACTACAGTTCACATTCTGAAGTGTTCCTTTTTTTGTATCAAATCAAAGTTTATTATTTTTTACAGTTATAGGAGGGAGCTCATTTATTGAACTCCTGCTTGAAAATATTAAAAGAGCAAAACTTCTGGTGGTGAAAAGGTTCAGAGACGCAGCCCAACCCAAGTTACACCTTTCTTTGTCATGGTTCAACTCTCCAAACTGAAAGCCCCTCTGGCCCTTGACTTAATTTACATAATTTTACATTTCAATTAGGCTTGTGTTTGTGTTTTTAGACCTGTGTTTGTCTTAAAACAGGAATTAAACTGGAACTTCGGAGTTGTCTGAACTACTAAAGCTTTCGTCTAACAGTACAGAAACTTAAAACATGCAATATTAATAAGTGAATATCTGTATTTCCAGCGGCTCAGACCAGTCGACTCTTCAGACACTTCCCAAAAAGCCTCCTCCACGCTCTGTCCCAGGAGAACATCACCGGAAACTTCCACTCCTGGAGCCTGTCTCTTCAGGTGGGAACGTTTCTCGCAGTTCAAACAGACAAAACACAAATGAAGAAACAGATAAAAACAAGATGCAGTTATTTGTGTTTTGAACAGAGGAGTTTTAAATGCTTTTTTGAAGATGGGGAGTGTGGATTTTATATTTCTATTTACACAGTCCCCCCTCAAAAAAAAGTAAACACGTTATATATTATTATGATATCTTGCTTTGTTCCAGTTTGATTTTTATTTGGTCAATCAAATAGTTTAATACATTTACATACGTACACAATTTAAAGATGCACTGCGTAATATTTCCTGCTGGGTCTGGTACCTGCACTGTAAACCTGAATGATCAAAGTAATTAAAATAGATTAAGTTGTCTATACTCAAAGTTTAGAAATAGTTTTACTAACTTAATTATGTCAAGTTGCTGTAACATGTTCTTCTTTTTGAGTAATTTTAACTCATATTTTTTGATTAAAGGGACTATTGTGGATATAATTGAGTGTAACTTAAAACCATAGGTGAGGTACGACTTAGTAGAATTAAGTACTTTAAAAAAATAATATGTAATGTGTGTATAATGTACTATGTGTATACTATAATATGTGTAGATACAGCTGGATGTACTGGTTTGTGTGAACAGTGTGTGTACAAAATCATGAACTACATACAAAATTTTATTATTCCAGGGGTTTGAAAACTCTTACTGTAAATATTTGTGTTGAACTAAATGAGCACTTTTAATTTTGCTGTTATCAAAAGGTACAAGTAGCAAGCCATCCAACCTTTTAAGTTCTGGAAGATTGTGACTTTTAAGTTCGTCAACTTAAAATAATTGAGATAATCGATTGCCTCAGTTTTTTTTATTTCTGGTAACTTATTCAGGTTTACAGTTATTAGCTGCTTATGTGGAAATGTTATGGGTGTATCTGAAATGTTCCACAGTACGGTACAAAACTTATCTATCTCCATGGAGACAGAGAGGAGGCAGCGTTACAAGTCAGATCTGTGGCGAAACAACCAGGCGCACGATAAAAATAATATCATTTTGAAGGTATTTTTGAATGAAATAGTGGCTTTCCTGGGTTTCAGAATCTTATAAGCTAATCAACAACTAAAGTGAATGTTGTTAAAATTTAGATTTCTGTTGTAATACAGTGAGTTTTTGGATCTAGTCACTGACAGAAATGATCAGGTTCAACATTTGTGGATATTTTTATGATTTTCAATGAAATCAGTAGGGAAAACTTGCACTTGCTTTTATTTGAGAGCATGACAGCATCACATTCTACAATCTGAAAAAACAGGCAAAGGAATGGTAGAAAGTCAGGTGGCAGACTCTTCCCTAGAAAAGTTACGTAGTGCACCTTTATGTTGTATTATAAACAAGCATAAGGCCCAGGGCTGACCCAAACACTTGTCATATTTTACAGAATTACAGCAGAAATGCCAATCTCAAGAGGTTCTACAAGGTTCTGTCCACCAACACAGACGGGAAGCTAGAATTCATCTCCACTATGGAAGGTAAGATCCCACACATTATTAGACCAGCTCTAAAATGCAACTAAAAGCAACTAAGCAAGAACATTTAGAATTATGGTATGCAAATAACTTTTAGGTTTCTTATAACTTATAGGATCAAAAACTCAAAGTCACAAATCACAATGCAGATCTCTATGGCAACTTAATTTGGCATTTATACTTTGTCAAAATTCCTCAGGACTGCCTTTGTTTGTCCACCAGGTGGCAGTGTTACCCCACAGTTGACTAACACCTTTACAGTTCAATCATTTTACTTTTATGTATTTTTTTTTTTTGCAATTGTAGCTTTTGTTTTCTACTTATATAACATTTATTTTATTACATTATTGTAATTTAAACATCACAGGTTATAGTTGTTATTACAGTATGGCAAAGAATGGTTAAAATAAGTCTGGACAACAGGAAGCTTTTAGAGTGAGATATGTTTAAAATATATATGTAAAAAAAATTACTGGATGACTGAGGGTGGTTACAGTATGTTGCCAAAACATTCCTGTCCACCAGATGGCAGTAGCACAGTGAAAAGAGATTAAAGTCCTGTTATTTATAATATTATTACCTTGTCAAAAATGTTCCTGGAGTTGTGTTTTGTTTCATCCACATATGTTTGAGGAATCTTTATTATTAATCTGTCCACATCTCCAAAGCTCAGAATGCTCTGTTCCACCTTGTGATGTCATGAAGCAGGGGTTTTCAAGTTAACAGCTACTTTATATCTTTTATTCAGTAGAGATTGGCAATTCCAGGGCTGAAATGATCTAAATTATTCTAGTGAAGGTGTATGGAGTTCAGAAACACAGGGGAGAACTTCCTGTATTACCACATGACATCACAAGGTGGAAGGAGTGTTTTCTCAGCCTAAATATGCAGGGTTTGTGTGTTAAACAAAGCACAACTCCAGGATTGTTTTGATGAGTAAACAACATTACAGCAGATTAGAAAATAGCACAATATGGGCCCTTTAACGTAACCAAATGAAAGAGAAAACGTTCAAAGTTTTTGTAGAAGTGCAAATGCAAGGAACAGCAATTTAAAAGTGAAAAAAAAAAGCTTAGCACACTCAGATGGACGATTTCTAAAAGCTTTTTTTTATTTTTACGCTTCTGCAAAAAGCCTTCGTCAGCTCATTTTTCTTGCTTTGGACCACAGTACTCCTTTAACACAATAAAATGAATAGGGGTGGTTTAATACAACTTCTTCCTACTCCTTTTCGAGAAAGTCTACAAACTCAAAATAAAATGTGATTCTGTTTTGTGGTGTTTAGCCTATCGTTACCCCTTCTACGCCGTACAGTGGCACCCGGAGAAGAGCCCCTTTGAGTGGCTTGACAAACCCGGCATGGTCCACTCCACCACCGCTGTTCAGACCTCCTTCTACACCGCCAGCTTCTTTGTCTCTGAAGGTAAACCCAGGCTAACAAGTATAAGCATTGGCCTATCATTATAATTAACTTCAATACATGACAGATGGAACAATAACTTGTTTTGGTCATTTTTTACCAAAGATACTTTTGCTTTTGTACTAGTGGGAACATTTTGTACTATGACTTTCACTATAGAAGATTGAATAATTAACTTCTATGAGTCATTATAGATACAAACTAAGTATTAGGGCCCAACCAATATGGATTTTAAATTTTTTATTTATTTATTTTGCGGCCGATATAATACCAATAAAATGGGAGTTGGAGGTGCCGATAGCCGATATAAAAGCCGATGTATTTAGTGATGTAAAAGTTCGCTGTAAATCTTCAATTGGTTGTAAAGCTTCTGGCCATAATGGACTTTAAATTGTGTTTATTTAAGCTTCATTTATAGTTATTCTGCCTCTTTACAGTCATATTTAAAGACAGTAGGTCAGCCTAATACCATTTTTGCATGACATTCTAGCCTGTAAAGAAAGTAAGTAAACTATCGCTATTAGACTTTAGCAGTAAATGCGTGCACTCTCCGGTAATTCATTATATTTGTAAATGCTGATCATTCACACCTCTATTCACAGCTCATTTACATATCAGTGCAGATCCAGTAACATGTATACAGCCATTATTGTCACTTTACACTTGGCCTATGTAAGAAAAAACAGGCTGTGTGGTAGCTCACAACAGCTAAGCTCTAACCAAAGAGAAAGAATGAAAAGTAGCTCCAAAACCAACACATTTGCAGTACTCACCGCTCACACAGGCTCCTCTCAGATCACAAGTCTGCACTAATAAGTGTCCTTTCAATCCTGACTCAAAACAATTGTGCGTAAAAATAATATAAACCAGCATGTTGACAGCAGCTGTGTTTGTAAACAAGCACACGTGAGCGACATGACTCTGTGGGTGCGTTCGGGGGCAGTACGGCTTCACAGACACAGACAAATTACTCTGCAGATAAATATTAATACGGCGCCACCTATTAGGACATTTATCTGTCTGTAGATTAAATTAAATGGACATCATATAGAGAGTCTAAGCTTTATAACGAGGAATAACCTGCTCAGGTGGACTTTCGGCCCGTATCAGCAAGTGCCTATATTGGCCAATAATATCAGCCTACCAATATATCGGTCGGGCCCTACTAAGTGCTTAAAGGTCCATTGAGTAACTTTTCAGGGTGAAGGTCCACCACCATGGAGATGCTATTGCTTTGCCAGTAATGTTAATCATTATTATTTAAATTAGGGGTGTTTAAGTGCTCAAAAATGCCTTTAAAAACATGCATTCTGACTGTGAGTGGGGTCACCTCTTCACAGATCTCACCTGCAAATGGGTCTGGTGGCGTTTCCTGCTTGTTTCTATGGAGATTGATGCGTTTAATGCCATACTTTGGTACATGTTAGGCAAAGCAATAACATCTCCATGGAAATTACCAACTTGTGGGCCCTCTACCAGAAAAGTTACATGTATTCTGTTCCGTATTTATTGCATTTTTTTATTTTTTTTTTACGATATTGAACATTTACACTAGTTTTGCGGGGATTATTCTGCTTTATAATTTTGTTTCTGTATGACTGTTTATCTTCTATATTCAGTTCAACATTATGTCACACTTCAAAATGCCATGCTCGGTCAAAGTTAAAGGTGCGCTAACATTCGCAGTGAGGGTCCCCTTGTTACCATGGTGATGTTATTAAGTGACATTAAAGAGAATACATGGAGAGGTGTGCACGCTCACAGAAAGCAATGTATTTTTCGGGATAGTATTTGCAATTAAAACATCTGTAAATGAGCAAATGCAAGAAGATAAGTTTGATGCGAAACTGCAGAACTCTCCAGACCAGTGATTCTTAAAGTTGAACTAAATCCATTTTTATTCATTATTGAACTGTGTATGTGGTGTTTTATTTACTATTTCTAGTCACTAATTGGTTATTTAGTGCAAACTAAATAAATCTGCAACATCGTGTTCAAAAACAGTCCACAATGTGTTCTCCCTCCAGTGGACGCTGCACTTTCAAGTACAATGTGACATCACGTATGACTGCCCTGGTTCACAGCCAAGTGTTTCTGAATACAAATACTTGCAGGGGCAGAGTTTGAAGTGTGGATTCCTGTTCAACCTGTTCCTATAGACCCTGCATTCGATTATCTTCCGACTCTCACTTGGACCTCAGATTTGACGTCACATCCAAGCTTGAAGCATATTTTTATGTTTCGCGTGTTGGACGCCTGTTAAATATTTGTATAGTAAATATTTGTAAATGTAAATATTTGTATCGTATTATATCACCACCAGGCAACTTCCTCAGAAAACCAATTTGGAAGGATAATCTAACGCAGGGTTAGTCTGATTTGGTTGAAGCTTCACAACAGCAGAGCAAGCCGAAAATCAAACTTTTGTTCCATCCAGTTGAGAGAAAAACACAGACATCTTCCTTGTCCACAAATGCACAAAGCTTTTTACCTTCTGCATATTTTAACCAACAAAATAGTCAATACTGAAGCTGAAACAGAATGAAGTACCTCTGTTATGTGACCATGTTTGTTTTGATTCACTTGGGCAAGAGTAGTTTTGTTTAGTTTAGGCAAAAGGAGGAGGCTGTCTCGGGCAAACCTGGAGGGGGCCCCAGTCTTAGTGCCACTAATGGCCGAGGACTGAGTAGTGATGGTGAGATGAGGCTTCATGAGGCATTGAACCACTTGAGTCATTTGGTTCAAGAAAGGGTTAATTTCTCAAAGCTTCATGAGAACCACTTACTGACTAAGTGTATAATCACAGGCAGCTGTATCTGAACTACCTCATGTGTGATGTATTGAAGTTTTGTGTCTGTTATGTCTGTTGGGAATGACTATGAATTACAAAAAAATGTTTGACCAAATCATTTCTGTACACATATTTGTATCACATATGTGTATAATAAATTGTTTTTTTTTTTTTTTTTTATGTATGATTTATTTATGCTTTTTCAAAATATAAAAGACAAATTATATAAAGATGTATAATATTCAAGGCTGGTATACAATGTAAATACTTCACAATTTACACACCTTTAAAAAAAAAAAAAAAAAAAAACAAAAACAAAAAACAGAAAAAGGGCCTACAAAAAAACAACAAAAAAACAACAACAAACAAACAGAATATGTGCTACTATAACATTTATCTTAGATTATATCAATCACTCGATACCCATGGATACATGCTATAGGGCAACACAGCTCATGGGGTCACCTCCAATGTCAGAGACATTACATGATCAATAAAAGGTAACCAGGCTTCAGTAAATTTAGAGCCAGAGCCTTTGAGAGAGTGTCTTATTTTTTCCAGTTTCATAAATGAAAGGGCATCTCTTTTATCCACTGGGAGTGAGTGGGTGGGTGAGGGTCTTTCCAGCGCATTAGGATAGCCCTCCTGGCCAACAGTGTAAGAAAAGCCACCAGGTCAACAAAACAGGGTGACAAGGAGTGACCGGCTGGAAGAATCCCAAAGAGAGCAGTCAGTGGGGACTGGCAGACCCTAGCATTGCAAACAACTGATAGAGACTCAAAAATAGTATTCCAATATGTTGATAATGTAGGACAGGTTAGAAACATATGAGTTAGATTAGCTGGGCCCGATTTGCATTTTACACAGTTAGGATCAGTGCCTGGGAAGATTCGGGCAAGCTTACTCTTTGACCAGTGCACTCTATGGACCACTTTACATTGAATGATACAATGTCGGGCGCAGATTGAAGAAGAGTGGACGTGCCTGAGGACGGACCTCCACTGTTCCTCATCAATCTCCACACCAAGTTCCTCAGACCAGGCCACACGAAGATGATCAGATGTTACTTTGAGAGCGGAAAACAATAGGCTATATATTTTGGAAATTGCACCTTTCAGAGAGGGCCTGATCTCCATGATAGTATCCATGATGGTACCATCAGGAATGCCAGGAGCACTAGGGAAGTGTCTACCAATGAAATTTCGGGCCTGTAGAAACCTAAAGAAGTGGGAGTTGGGTAGATTAAAGTTTAAGGCTAATTGGGCAAAAGAAGCCAAAACCCCCTCTATGTAGAAATTTTTTACAGAAACCAGTCCATGGCTCCTCCATACAGCAAATGTCCCATCAGTTAATGATGGGGGAAACAAAGGGTTACAGTGGAAAGGGGACAGAAGAGGTATTCCCTGAAATCCAAAATGTTCTTTAACCTGGGTCCAAATTTTAAGACAGTTCTTAACTATAATGTTATTAGAGTATGATGTGGGTGATGATTTAAGGGGTAGACACAAAAGGGATAGTAGAGAAGCAGAGTCACATGAGATCTCCTCTATTGGCAGCCAAACTGGCATGACATCATTAGTATGGCACCAAAACAACATTGTACGGATGTTAGCAGCCCAGTAATAGAATAAAAAATTTGGTAAGGCAAGGCCTCCATTTTCTTTATCTCTTTGCAGTATAATCTTTCGTATTCTGGGAGGTTTCTTGTTCCACAAAAACTGTGCAATAGTGCTGTCAAGTGACTGAAAAAAACGTTTAGGAATAAACACTGGTATATACACTGAAAAAGATAAAGTAATTTAGGTAGTATGTTCATTTTGATGCAACTAATTCTACCCGCCAGAGAGAGAGGCAGCATGGACCAACGGTGCAGGTCTAGAGTTAACTGGTCGAGTAATGGATTAAAGTTGGTCTTGAAAAGATCTGAAAATTCCCTGGTTACATGAATACCCAAATATTTTAATACTATGTGCAGATGTTTTAAAAGGTAAGCTGGAAAGAGGGTATGTAATGGCAGCAGGGTTAACAGGAAGGAGTTCACTTTTATTAAGGTTTAATTTATACCCTGAAATCTGTCCAAACTCCTTTAGCAGAGTCAGAACCGGGGGCATGGAGATACCTGGATCCGAAACAAACAGTAACAGGTCATCAGCGTATAAGGCTACTTTATGTACTGAGCCACCCCTCAAAATGCCATGCATAGAGCTGGATC